TACCTTCTTCAGCACAGATCTCCTGAACAACCTGGTTTCTGATGTCTTTCAAAGCGTCAAAGTCGTGCACGTAGTACACCCGCTTGTCGTCGCCCGCGATCTGGCGCAGCTGCGTCTGGTTCGCGTCCTTGACCCCGATGGCGTAGACGTGGACCAGCTCCTGCCTCAGTCTGTCCGCGGGCTCGGCGACGCTGTCGTGGGCCGCGCCGCTGGTCAGGACCACCAGGTGGCAGGGCACGCGGCCTCCCCGCTGCCGCTTGGCCTTCTGCAGGAGGCCCAGGGTCAAATTCAGGGCGGCACCCGTGTTGGTCTTCCCCCCCATCTGCCGGATGTTCTCGATGGCCTTGCCCACGTCGTGCTTGTTCGTGTACTTGCTGATGTCAAACTCCAAGTCCCCGCGGTCGGCGTACTGCACGGCCCCGACCCGCACCTTCTGGGGAGCGATGTTGAACATTCCTACGACCTCCGACAGGAAGGTTTTCATCTCCTGGAAGTCAGTGGCCTGGACGCTCCTGGAGCCATCGATGAGCAGATAGATGTCTGCTTCCTCCGTGTCCGCGCAACCTGCAAGGCAACCCAAGACTGAGTGAGGCACCGGGGCCAGTGTGACCGAGAAGCAGGGCAGGCAGGGAGGAAACCAGTCCCAGCCTCTGCAGACAGCAAAGTGGGACAGAGCTTCTTGGGAAGAAAGACCCACTCTGCCGGCTGGAGCCACGGGGTCTTGGCCTTGGGCAGGCCGAGTGAAGCGTTTCAGGCTGGTTAACATGACTGGCATTAATTCTCCACCCACAATCTGGACAGAGTCAAAGATAAGAAAGAAAACCTGAAGATGCTTTTTATCAGTCACTTCTCTTATCGGCAAAAAAGTCAAGTGGGGTGTTGTGAACGAGAGGAGGTATTTAGCAGGATGTTGTGGGTAGATGCGTGCTCTTTCTTGAAATCTTGAACCAAGGGTTTACTCCTCATCCACTCCTAGGCAATTAACACGACTAGGGGGCTTATCAGTGGCCTTATGTCAGACGAGGACACTTTTATAGTCAACATACAGGGGAACCTGCCAGGAAAGAGAAAAAAAAAATGCAGGGAAGGGGGAGAAACAAAAGAAAAGTATTCGGGGGACTGAGAAATCATGAAAATCTAAAGCTGCACACAAGAGGAAATAAAAAGGGAAACCCCTTCTCCCCAGGCCAACACCTCAGTAGCTCTTACTCTATCCAACTTCACCCTTCCTATTATCCAGTTAAAATTAAAAAAAAAAATCCAAACTAGGAACTCACTCTCCCTGCCAGTCATACCTGCCAAGCCTTTCTGTAGACAGAACACCTGACAGACAAGATCGTCATTTTAAGTGATGTAAGCCAGAAAATGAAAGAAAAATGCCATTATGAGATCACTTATGTGTGGAATCTAAAAAAAAACAAAGACACACTCTACTTCAAAAAGACACCTGCACCCCAATGTTCACAGCAGCACTATTTACAATAGCCAAGACATGGAAACAGCCTAAATGTCCATCAACGATGACTGGATAAAGAAGATGTGGAGTATTTATACAATGGAATACTACTCAGCCATAAAAATCAACAACATAATGCCATTTGCAGCAACACGCATGTTCCTGGAGAATGTCATTCTAAGTGAAGTAAGCCAGAAAGAGAAAGAAAAATATCACATGAGATCACTCATATGTGGAATTAAAAAAAAAAAAGAACATAAATACAAAACAGAAACAGACTCATAGACATAGAATACCAACTTGTGGTAGCCAAGGGGGTGGGGGGTGGGAAGGGACAGACTGGGATTTCAAAATTTGTAGATACTGACAGGCATATGCAGAATAAACAAGATTATACTGTGTAGCACAGGGAAATATATACAAGATCTTGTAGCTCACAGTGAAAATAAAATGTGACAATGAATATATGTAAGTTCATGTATAACTGAAAAATTGTGCTCTACACTGGAATTTGACACAACATTGTAAAAGGATTACAACTCAGTTAAAAAAAAAATTTAAAAAAAGGACACTAACTTATCTACAGAACAGAAACAGACTCACAGAGAGAACAATCTTATGGTTACCAAGGGGTAAAGGGAGTGGGAAGGGATAAATTGGGAATTGGAAAATTTGCACCTCTTGGGGAGTGATGGAAATGTTAGCTGTCTTGATTGTGCTGGTGGTTGCATGGGTGTCTACATCTATCAAAATTCATCAAGTTGTACATCTGAAATATGTGTAGTTTACTGTGCAGGAACCAAACCACAATAAAGGGGTAAAAAAGAGAGAGAAAGAGAAAGGCTGGGAAGAATCCTTCTCAGCGAAAGGCTTTACCGGATTTGAGGGTTGCCGTCCGCTCCGAGACCACAGAGACAGTGTGTGTGATCTGGTTCCGCAGCTTCTTCAGGAAGGTCTGGTTGTGGGCTGCCAGGTCGGAGAAGGTTTTCAGTTTGGAGACGTATTGCTCAGCAGGGTGAGATGCTATCTTCTCCAGCTGGGCATCACTGGCCCCCTCGATGCCCATGGTGAAGATGGTCACCCCCTGGCGCCGGAGGCTCGCAGCCGCCTTGGTCACGTTGTCCTCTGATGGGTGGTGGGTCACCAACACGGCGATCTGCGGGACCCCCTGATTCTTCCGACTGCCGTTCTGTGCGCTAAAGACCTCCTTCCGGACCTTTCTCAAGGCGGCTCCAGTGTAGGCCTTCCCAGCCTGGGGAGAGAGGCTTTGGATGTCCCGGAGCACCACCGACTTGTTGACGCCCCGGCTCAGGGGGTTGATCACCTTGGTCTCGTTGCTGTAGGCCACCAGGCTGACCCGCATGCAGTGCTCCCTGACATCCAGCGCGGACACGCTTTCCTCCAGGAACTCTCGGAGATAGTCAAAGTCCTCCCAGCTGCCGTTGACGGACACATCCAACAGGAACACGACGTCAGCGACGGAGGGGCCTTGACACACTGCGGGCAAGAAGGAGCAAACAGGCAGTTTCAGCAGGAGGGGCAGCGTCTCCGCTCGGCTTTCGGAGGCACAGAGCTTCGCTGAGATCTGCTCTGATTAAAGTGGATCTGTGATGGAAACAGTCACATGTGATCATCAGAAGACCTTCTAGCCTGCCTGATGCATGATCTCTGTGGTTCTGAAAAGCCAAAGGACAAAGACATTTAAAACAAGAAGGGGTTCTGTCTGCGGCAGGGGTGTGGGTGTACGCGTGTAAGTAAAGGTGGCAGCGGATAACTGAGAACTTGTTGATAGGTGACTGAGAACAGTCTGGGGGTGTGTGTGTATGAAAGGCTCATCAGTTCTGAGCAATGATGAAAAGGGTTTACCACTGACCTTCATAACTATGAAGCTTTCTGCACTCGATCTGAGCTCAGAATTAGAATAAAAAAAAAGGCACAGAGAATTCGACTAGAGCTTGGCTATGCCCTTAAACAAGGAAGTAAGTGTATCAGATGAAAACAAAGCTGAGATCAGCAGGTCCTGGGTTCAAATACTGGATCCTAGCTAAACTCCCAGCTTCAAATTCTCCATCTGTAAATATAGTTAACAATGATATTGATCTCACAGAGTTGTCATTTGTCATGGGGATTAAATGAGACAATGTGCTTCATGTGGGATTTGGCACAAAAAAGCCCCTCCACAAATAGAAGCCACTGTTATTGTATTAAAATCACTATTAAAATCATCAGTTATCATCCAAACATTCTTTTTTTTAATTATTATTTTTTTTATTTTGGCAGGAGGGAGAGGTAACTAGGTTTATTTATTTCTAGAGGAGGCACTGGGGATTAAGCACAGGGCCTCGTGCATGCTAAGCAAGCGCTCTACCACTTGAGCTATACCCTCCCCTCCCATATAGTCCAAACATTCTTAAGGGATGGTCATGGAATAGCAACTGACGTTCCAATATTTTCTTTGGAAATATGCTCGTAATAGGATCCATATTTTCAGAGAGCCCCACAAGCAAACTGTTCTCTGTTGGGGATAATTAAACACATTATTTAATTCAAACTGACTTAACGTGAGTTTCCTATGTCACTTCTTTGGCCTTGTACACTTGGAGCAAATTGTGTTTTTTATTGGCTCTCTCCTTCTTCTGTCTTGAATGATGTTCGTAAACTCTTGGCCATTCTTTTTTTTTTTTAAGATTTTTTTTGGGGTAATTAGGTTTATTATTTATTATTATTTTTAATGGAGGTGCTGGGTGTTGAACCCAGGACCTCGCGCATGCCAAGCACATGCCATACCCCTGAGCCATACCCTCCCCCCGTCTTAGCTGTTCCTGTTAAGAGAATAGTACAAGAGGACCCACCAGGACAGTAGGTGGGGGTGGAGCAGAACACAGGGAAGCTCAGTTAGAGCAGAGCTGCAGGAAGCAGGCAGCGTGGGGCTGACAGGACACAGGCAGAGCCCTGACTCTGGACTGCAGCCTGGCCCCGGGCAGAGTCACATCACCTCTAAGAGCACCTGCCTGCAGGTTCCTCTCTGCAGAACAGGCATTTGAACTACCTGTTTCTTGTTGTTTCGAGCTCTGACACTCTGTGGTGACATTATATGGCTTTAGGAGTCAAGTATTTCTTCAGGAGCAAATTCACCTTTTAAATGAACCAGAAATAAAACCACGCGGTAACTGAAGCGCAGGGAAACAGCTCTGATAGCTGGGTGCAGGGAGGAGGCATCCCTGAATTTGAAGGAGCCTGTGAATGACGGGCAACATGGTTAGTGAAACACGGGAAACCAAGACTGACCAGGTCACTGGGTTTTAGATGGGTCCTCGCCAACATTTAACATCCAAACACACAGCTCCGCTTTTGGGGAACAGATATGCACGCGCATCTTCCTGAAGCATCCGATCATGCTCATCCCTACACACGCACCCCAGACCTACCTTCCACGAGGATGTCATTGACAGCCCCCTCCCTGGACTGAGCCGCCTCCTTGAGGATCTGTGTCATGTTCGGGGAGAACGCGCCGAGGTCTCGGACCGTGCGGAGGCGGTAGTGGAACTGGGCCGTGGCCATGGCCTTCAGGGTCTCCTCGGACACACTCTGCGTCCCCACGGAGACGATCCGCACCCCGTCTTTGCGCAGGGCCTCGGCGGCCTCTTCCACGGCATCCTCGGACTCGGCCGAAGCCAGGACCACCAGGATCGGGGGAAACTGCTTCCTGTCCCTTCCGTTTGAGAAGTAGGTCCTGTGCGCCTCCCGGAGGGCGTTTCCCAGGCGCGGGGAGCCGCCCAGGAACCCGAAGTTCTTCCTGAGGTGGCTGAGCATGGGGCCCCGGCTCCTGAAGGCGCTGAGCTGGAACTCGGCGCGGAGCTGGTCGCTGTACTGGGCCAGCCCCACGCGGTACTTGTCCGCCTCTATGGGGAGGCTGCTGACCATCCTGCTGATGAACGTCTTCAGGAATGGGAAGGACTTCACTCCCAGGTGGTCGGAGCTGTCCACCAGGAACACCACGTCGGCGTACTCAGGGCCTGCAGACCCACAGACCAACAGAAACAAAACTAACTTCAAAAAAGTCCTGCCACGTTTAATGCCAACCAAATGAGAAAAAACAAACTTACTTTGCTCTTTCACTTGTATTTGTAATAGCTTTCCAAGGAACTGAAAATAAGATGTATTCTCTCGAGAAAAATAAACACTTGATTCTCGGGCTGATTTTTTCCCCATGCTCTCTTACTTGAACAGATCACGAAATTAACTGTCACTCTTGTGAGAAATTAGTTACAAAGAGGTGAATATAGAGAAGTAAAAAAAAAAAGTGTTTTTATACCTTTAGTGCATAATTTCCCCTTGTTTCTTTTTTCTTTCAGAGTTTGACCTCAATCTGTATCAAGGGGTTACAAATTTTAATTGAGAATCAAATCAAGTTTTTTGAACCAGGAAATCTGAAAAACAGCCTTTCAACTGTGATCGCCATTCAAGAGAGCAACAAGTGACCTGGTTGATTTATAAACATATTAGCTTTGTATTCCAAAGAGCCAAATTGATGACAGTTTAAAAAACCCTAAAAATCATAAATACAGGATTGCCCTAATCTATTTTAAAGCCACGTACAATATTTTTTGATGAGACATGAGTATTATAATTGGTGAACTGATTCCCACATATGTAAAATGTAATAGAAAACAGGATACCTTCAGCCAGGAAAGGGATTATGGTTTAAGTTGCTGTTAAAAATGGAAGTTCTATATAGGAATACAGTACTTGGCCACACTCTGAAGGCTTCATTCGATGCCAGATTCAAGGCTAGGGACATACTTTTATGTAACAGAGAATCATTCGGTTCAAGCACAAAATGTCATTAGCTGGTGGTCGGTCTTCTGATTTGAATTTAGAGCTTTCATCGTCAGATCCATTTATTGTCCAGGAAAGAGAGGGAGGTATTCATGTGTGTCTGGATACTATACATTTAAGAAAACATAGTGTAAATTAACAAGTAATGGGAGTCTTAATTTGGTTATCAGCGAATTCTTCCAGCTCCGTCAAGCCATTCAATACCCTTGGGCCTCAGTTTCCTCACCTTTAAAATGAGTAGATTCAACTAGCAAATATCTGAGGTTCCTTCTCACTCTGAGATTCTGATTATCTACAATGGTTATTGGATAAATTCTAATTCCACTAAAAGAACTTCAGTCTCTTCTGGTCTATAGCTACTAGCAAACCAGCTTTGACACCCCTGTGTTATTTCATTCTCTTTACAGCAGTCTGATCGAGGCAAAGTGGATACAGTCATTCTTTTCTTCTACATGACCTCATTTCAACTACTTTGAGATTCCTTTGATGATCAGATAGCCGGCAGCATCTCAGGGGGGAAACTCAGCGTGGAGGAATTCACATCTTCCGCCAAGAGAAGGCTGGAACCCCTCTGAGGTCTGCCAGGTGAGCCCCACCCACGATGGCTTGACTTGCGACCTCAAGTGACCCTTCTACTCATGGACAGACCTCCACATCTTGTGTGGAGAAAAGAAGTGTGGCCACGGCCCCGCGAGGCAGATACAGGCTCTGATCAGGCCCAGTGCCTTATCTGAACTGGGACATCATCGAGGGAAAAGCATTCTCTCTATAAAAAGCTTAACATCAGGCCCAGTGAGACATCAAAGGAAGATGTCTGCAGGGTAAAGGCAAGTTCATCTCTTGCTTCCAAGGTCAGAGTCCTGGAGAATACTGGAAAGGGCTATCTAGGTGGCCTTGGACATGAAGTAACCAGTGTAAGAACCGACTCTTACACTGGTGGCAGCAGTGAGGGTGAGGCCACGATTGTGACGTCAAGTCCACGGGACACAGATGGATGACAGGCAGTAGACAGCTATGGTGCCCTCTCTTCAGGGTCAAAGCACTTTCTTTACAATTAGCAGACACATGGTTTCAACCGGAGGAAAATCTGGATGCTTAACGAAGGCAATGTTTTGGCACAAATGAATGAGAAAGGGACAGTTCAGTTTTTCCAGGCTTGAACCTAATATTGAGAGAATTTTCTTGCAACCTCCCAGAAGACCTCAAAGGAGTTGAAACTGAGGACAAAAAACCACCTCTCATCTCTCCCTATTATTAACAAGGAGTAAGGTCCAGGAACAAATGATCTTTAAAGGAACACGGGGTGACACCGAAAGAAACTGAGCTGCTGCTCCCATCCTAAACATCGACAAAATCAAAACAAAGCAAAACAGAACTCCTAAGTTTAAACAAGTGAAACTCAGAGATTATCTATTTTCCATCATGAAAATGAAATAATTTTTTTAAGGTTTTTTTTTTCTTACCAGAATGTTGGTTGATGGAAACATGGGAACATATGATCACGAGGAACAAAATCAGCAGCATTTTCATATTATAACCTGAAACATCGCCAACTGGAAATCTGAAAAGGCAAAAATATAAATATCGAAAATCGTTGTGGGTAGTATCTGGAAATCAAGTCTCACACATGTAAGAGCACACGAAATTATATAATCAATTGAATGCAATAGGAAACAAGGAATTTCTGAGGTTCCCTGACCGTTTGGTTCTGTGAAGGGCCTTAGAGAAAAATGAACCACTAGCATTTACAGACTCACTCAAGCTGCTCGTGGACTGCAGACCCTGCAGAAACAGGAGATTTTGGATTGTCAGTGGCAGCCACCAGATGCATTCTGGTTCTACCAAGATTACGTGCTCCTAGTCCTCCTTTTCCCTGTATCCTAATGTCACCCTCTGCCCACTCACTGCCAAGACAATTCAGAGTTCACAGCCAGGACACAGTGGAAGACCTGGTCTGTAATTTCTCCATCATGAATGCGTGGGTGTGTTTCCTATCTGAGAAATATTTCGAGATGCGGTCCAAACTCTGTTTTCTCCTTTTCCTGCATGAGGAGGAAGTTCATATTTCCCTTTA